CTTTAATCATATTAAAAGAAAATGCACAATGGTGACAGCTACTTGGTTTGTATTTAGGGGTTGTTCTGTGTTTTCTTTTTCTCCTCCTTTCTGTTTTTTTCTCCCCGGCAGTGTGTGGGCAGCTGAGGGTGTGGCTGGCTGAGCAGGTCCTTCACTACGATGCACACCTGATTCTTATCAGTAATCACTCCTGCCATAAAAGCCTGGTCAAGACACCACTTCTGTGCCAGATTATCCCGTTGCAGTTGGTAATTATGAGTCCCTGATGATTCCCTTGTTCACCAGAGCATCTTGTGACTTGAGTTTTTTTGTTATCTAGAGTACGGACTGACCTGAGTTTTTTTCCCTGTGTATAGTTTTCCAGTATGCCTGCCTGCAGTCTCCAGTGCTACTGTTTTTCTGGCGCTCAGCCTCTGTGGATCTCCTGGACAATTTGCCACCTCGCCTGCAACACCAGTCAGCCCTCAGCCACCACCTCCAGCCTCTTGCCTTTTTTCTTTGAGGCATTATTCTTTCAATAAACACCCCAAGAACTGTCCTTGACTCTGTCTCTGCATTTTTGGGATCCAAACACCAAAACTTAAAACTTAAATTTTTTGCTGATGTTAATTCTCCCATTTGTGCCAAGGATTGGAGTCTTCATTATGAAATAAATAATTGAACTGTTTTTAAGGCATCAGACAGCCTCTTTAAATGCTCACTTAAATGAATCAAACAAATTTACGAAACAACTTTTAATATGACTGTTCACATGTAAAATATCTTCTTTTAAAAGAAAACATGACCTAAATGCTTCAAAAACCTTTTATATATATCATAATTTTGTCTCTAATATCATTTTATATCGCTGTGAAAAGATCCCAAACATGTTAATTATTGTCCCCAGGACTATGGGACCCTGTTAGTACTGAGTCCTGCTTTTTAGCTTCCACACAATTGATGTGACACAACAGGACAACATCAGCCATTGGTGAATCTCATCTTATTAACCGACTGACAGTCAATAAGGCGAATATTGTCTAGTCTTAAGTAAATTTACAGTAGGTCTGAGTGAAGTTACCTGAACTTAGGTTTTTCCTTAGTGACCACGCCAATCTCCAGCTCAGTGGCCTTGAAATCCAAGGACAGCACAGAGGACAGACATGTGATAGCCATCTGTAAAGAAAGAAAGTTAAATGAGTGTGCTGATAAGTCTAAACACACAGAAGCCTCTCTAAATGTTACTTTCAGTGAATGGAAGTGTCAGTTTCCCTCTACCTGTACTGTTCTGTCGTGGGTCAGATCAGGCTTCTTCTTCAGTTTCTTCTCCAGGTAGCTGTTGGCCTCTGTTTGTTTGGCACCGACCGCTGTGGCTCTGAAGCCGCAGTAGTAACCTGCGGGGTCACATTTAAACAGGACAGGGCCCTGCTGGGGGTCTATGGCCGCCATGATCATACCTGACGAGAGCAGAGGAGGATGAGAGATGGAGAGAGCAAGACCGTTACACCATTATGAGGAAGATGTCCCCAACTGTATTCAGACATTTTTTAATGATCCCTTGCAAGCTGTTACACTTCAGTGGCATTTTTAGTTGCTTAAAAGGGAATAAAGAAGCCATGTAATAAGACGGAAATGAAACCAAAGACAAGGGAACAATGTCCTGAGCAGCCACTATCAAGGCCAGGTCAGATAATAATGCAAATACGCAGCAGAAAACTGGTACAGTAGCACCAGGTATGTCCCATCCTGAGTGTGTGAGACATTGTATGCTCACAAATTTTTAAAAAAGACAAGAAAAAGAAAGAATGAGTTGTTGATGAAGAGCAGTATAAACAAACCAATGAACACCAAAAGGCAGAAATCATGACCCTCACTTACAGCAGCCTAGAGGCCTCATTTCGGCGTTTTGTGTGTAGACCTGGGAGATATCCGCCAACCTGCGACACAACACGTCCGCTGTGATGTCATAGCCAAACTTATACTTCCATTCTCCTGCTTCCACTCGCGCCCGGTGAACTTGGGAGCGACTATCCGCTGCACAAGACAGGAGAAAGTTGACGGTTACACAAGAATGATAACAGATTGTAATGCCTTAAATACCAGTTGTTTCTCGTCCTCATTTAAGGACACAAAAATGCCAGGCTTTCTGATGTGAAATAAAACAAACGTCATCTTAATCGTAGTCACATTTGTTCATGGTCGTTATATCAAAGTCTCACAGTTACCTGGTCAAAGATGTGCTGTGTGCGTGTTGATGAATACCTACCACCGTGCCCAGTCATCACACAGCCAATGCGAGGGGTCAGTTTGAACATGTTGGTAACAGTAGTAGAGTCCAGCAGCTTGTCCTGCAGTCAGGAAAAGGAAAGAGTGTCACATCCAACCTATAAAGTGATACTGTGCCAACACACTTCAGTGTATGACTGTGCGTGTGGACAAATCAGCGCTGCATTTACATGGATATGAATTACTCAGACTTATCTATCTATGATTATGATGATTAGACCTTTAAATTGACAGGGGATGGACCAAATACAGTTTTATCTTGTGCTCTTGTAAAAGGAAAATAAAGTAGTCTTTAGCTTGGTAATGTGAGAGCTGGCGTTTGTTCAGTGTCAAGTCAGCAAAGAGCTGGAGTCAGGACTCCTGTGAGGCTTCAGTGTTTCGCTTGAACTCAGATCATCATCGTCTGAGTGAGTGATTGTGTGTGATATCTTACAGGTATTTTCTTTTGTGTGACCACCACAACGCTGTCTGTCCCCCGGATCCCCACAGACGTCAGCCCGCTCTGGGAGATGGCTTTGAAGGCATACTCTGCAGCACAGCATATGAGACAGAAAATAAACAAACAGAATAGTATCTTAATATAAGACCGCTGGATCTGATATCCTGTTCATCCATGGAGAACTGCATGTTTGCTCCTTCATCAAACACATCAGTATTATGAAGATACATCTGAGGAACAAAGCATCCCAGCAGTTTGAGAGCTATTTACACCACAAATATTGAACATAACAGGATTTAACAAACTTGCTTTGCCCAGGGGGCCACTTTTGCAAGATAACAGGAGGCTAGGAGCCAGTTGCAGGAGCCCTGCACAGGTCAGGGGTACACAGAGGCATTTCTAGGATTTAAAGACACTTGAGGATTTAAAGACACTGGAGGCTTAGCTTGGACCTCTCCTGGGGGAGGGTCACTATCTTATTCACAGTAAAAGTACGAAAAATTCCTGTGTGAATTAATTTATTGTTAGTGTGAATTAGAAATCCCAGGCACGTCCAACTGTTGGGAGGCCCAGGGGCAGACACAGAACACACTGGACGGGTTATATATCTTGTCTGACTTGGGAACGCCTCGAGACCCTTCAGGAGGAGCTGGAAAGCTTTGCTGGGCAGAGGGACATCTAGAGCAGGGGTGTCAAACTTATTTTAGTTCTGGGTCTAGTTACTTGATCTCCAGTAAAAAACATTACTCACTAACCTATAAATAGCAACCCCTTCAGATTTTCCCTTTTTTTAGTGCCAGCGATATCCTACGAAAAATATGTGCAAATTCAACAGTATGTCTCGGGTTTTCCACGTTCAGTCAGTCCACCCCTCACTTTCAGTTCATGTGCATTTTTTCATAATTTTTCACTAAAGTGGAAGCTATTGAAGCAGCAGGTGAGGTCATCCCCTGCCATATTGTTTCATGATAGAAGTCTTTTGTACTGAAGCTGCTGGTTGAACATATTTAGCACAACGTTCAATTTCTCTAAATCTGACCACAGACAGTATTCATTGTTATTTCAGAGAGCTGTGTTCTGGTCACATTGACCAAAGTGCTGTACAAAAGGAATAAAATGCTAAAAACACATACATAAAAGGCAACATAACTGTCAGGTACACAGCTCACACATTTAGAGACACAACACACACAGGCACGCATCAGGGAAGCCCACATCTGGGGGACTCAAACGCTAATGAATAAAAGTAGAAGGAGCCTGGACTTAAACAAGTTAATGGAGGGGGCAGATCTAGATCTGAGTGAGAGGGGGATGCTGTTCCACAATTTGAGGGCAGACACAGCAAAGGCACCATCACCCCTGAGCTGAAATCTGAAGCGTGGGACAGCCAGGAGCCCCAGGTCAGATGACCTGACACCTTATACAAGTGCATCAATATGAGGTGTGCGAAATCATCCAGTGGGTCAGATTGGACCCTTTGGTGAGCCAGTTGACATCCCTGGTCTGCTGTGTTTTACTTAGCCTGCTGCCCTGTGACCTCACCCTGGGTGGGTGCATGGGATTAGAAAATGGTTGCTGGGCCACCTGGCACCCTGTTGTGGGCCAGTTGAGTATCACTTCTATAACCTGTGGATTCATATCCAGTTGAGAGCTGAATTTTACTTTAAAATGTCAGTGTATTTAAAAAATAACATTAAAATGAGTAAACGTGGGTGCAAGTTTTGACTCTATAGCTGCACTCCACTGGACACGCTAACCACTGCAGCTACATGATAATAATCCTGCAGTCACACACAATTTGTATTAATAATCCAAAGTATCAGCTGGTAGTGGTAGCAGATTTCTCTTGTGTATTAGGAGGTAGCCTATAATCATGATCCAGCTCTAAAACCCCGGACAAAGCGTGTGCCTTACCGACTTGGTAGAGGCGGCCCTCCGGTGAAAATATGGTGATGTGTCGGTCGAAACCTGCGTTTGAACCGCGCGACATTGTTTCCTCCTCGTGACCTCAGATGAACTTCGCAACACTTTAATATATCTTTATATCTTCCTAAACTATTCTCTTTTCCTTTGTCAGTTAATAGGAAACAGCATGTCTGAGCTGAACGATAAACAGGATAATGGAGTTACTTCCCTGCAAGATTTTTTACTTTCTCTTTCATTTATATGTGAGTGCGGTGCAGCTCCACCACTGGCCTCTCTTATTATTGGATGGCAGCAATAAGGAAGTCAAGTGACTTTACCAGTTAGACTGGCTCCCTCTCTGTCTCTGTCTCTGTCTCTCTCTCTCTCTCTCTCTGTCTCCCTTTTCCACCTGTGGGCGAAAGTTGTGAATCTGGAGAAGCTTCGAGTCTTTTAGTGAAAGACACCAGCAGGAAGCAGCAGGAATATCAGGAGGGGAGGGTTGAATGGAGAGGAGCGAGGCTGCGACCCTGACATCCCTGAGTGTGCCTGCTGTCACTTGGCTGCTGGTGGCCCCCGGACACACAGACAAATGTCGGGCCGCAGGGTTGGCTTCTGGCTCAGCGATAAGAAGCGCAGGAGGATGAACCTGGACGCCTTTGCAGACTTCTGTGCGTAAGTTGCAGCCGGTGTTTGACTTTTTGAGATTAATTTAGAGCTCATTCAGGCTCTCCTATGGGGCCCCTGGATAGATAGTAAAGAGGGTCCCATTGAAAAATAATCATTTCATTTTATCTTAAAGAAACTGTCGTAATAACGCCCTCACTATAATCAAGTGTACATAATTGTGCAACTCTTTATCACCAGCAATGAAAATCTGTCCACACTGCATGAGAAGCTTTATTCATTAACAACCCTGTTTGACGTCAGAAGACTCCATGTGTTATCATCAGTGTTAAAACATAAACATTATCACCATCTTTTTCTCTGCAGGGGCCATGGAGTGGAAGTGGTGGAGGTAGGTGTCTAAACATATACATGAAATCATATAATCTTAACAGTTTAAAATGAAGGGATGAAGAAAGGCAATATGTAAGTGTGAGGCTATTGTTTGTGTGTGTGTTGTGTGAATGTGCTCATCTTTGCATAATGTTTATGTCCGTGTACAAATGAAGATAGATTGATGTCTGTTTTTATGCGTCTTTTTCCTTACATAGATGTCGTAACACCTTCACACACATACACGTATAGAATTTTATTCCAGAGGTATGTGAGAGCGGTTTGGGAACCCTGTCCACCCACACACACATGTGTCATGCACACATGTCAGCAACTTTACTAATCCATGTCACTGCCACCTGCAGCCCACGCCTACAATCTGTTTGCAGCAAATGCCGTGAACAATGTCTGCCTGATTGTAGCTGCTCAGACATTTCATCGCGTGTGAATATCTGAACAGGAGCACGATAGACATTTACACACAACAGTAATGACTTCACCTTTGCCCACATGTCACAAGAAGCTAGCACACATATCAAAACGGTCAAATTACAATAAACAAATCAGGTAATTGCAGAGAAGTTGAGTCGTCTCAGTCAGTCTCTAAACCACATTTAATATTGTCTGAGCCTGGGTTCACAGTTCACAGAAACCTGCTACTATATGAAGAGCAGTGAAAACTGCAGCCATGTGTTGTTATGGTGGTGTACAAATACAAACCGTTATTTTAATTAAAGAGGAAAGTGTGCCAGGACATAAATCATCATGTCACAAATGTTTGGCATTATTTAGAGAAGTGGCTTAACGTGTCTGTGGTGAGCTAAACTGAAATTAGAAACACGCTATTCAAGTATGATAGCTAGCATAAACAGGATCTTTAAATTATTATTGCATAAAAATTCCAAGTACTTCACGCTGAAATCTTTCATGTTATGTACCGTATCATGATATACAATAGACCTAGCTTCCAGAGGAAACTGTGACTCATTAAGCATATGTGTAACTAATAAGATTAATTGCTGCACTATCTTTTGTTATGCCTTTGACAGGGCTCCTTTGTTGAAAAGGGCTCTCATCTCTCTGCCTGCTCTACCTGCTTTTCCTGCAGTGACTGGTCTGTAATGACAGATGCGAATGAAACACGAGAGTCAAAAGTGATACAGAGTATAATCTGACTCTAAACAAGAGTTGGTTCATATGTTCAGTGTTTGTGATAGTTGATCATTTCTACATCGGTTTCCCGTTTCAAGTCTCCCAAATTAAAGATGAGCAATATTGAAAGTGGGGCGGCACGGTGGTGCAGTGGTTTGCATTGTCGCCTCACAGCAAGAGGGTCCTTATTCAAATCCTGGGGTGGGGGAGCCCTTTTGTGTGGAGTTTGCATGTTCTCCCCATGTCAGCGTGGGTTTTCTCCGGGTACTCCAGCTTCCTGCAGTCCTAAGACGAGCAGGTTAATTGGTGACTCTAAATTGTCCGTAGATGTGAATGTGACTGTCTCTATGTGTCAGCCCTGTGATAGGTCTGTCAACCTGTCCAGGGTGTACCCCGCCTCTCGACCAGTGTCACCTGGGATAGGCTCCAGCCCCTCAGCAACCCCTAACAGGATAAATGGTCACGGAAAACAAATGAATGAATATAAATAGTATAGTGATACTGTCCTGGAGGGAGCTCGGAGTAGAGCCGCTGCTCCTTCGCGTTGAAAGGGGTCAGTTGAGGTAGTTCAGGCATCTGATCAGGATCCTCCTGGGTGCCTCCCGCTGGAGGTGTTTCAGGCACGTCCCACTGGTAGGAGGCCCCGGGGTAGACCCAGAGCACACTGGAGGGATTACATATCTCATCTGGCCTGGGAACACCTTGGGTCCCCCAGGAGGAGCTGGAAAGCGTTGCTGGGGAGAGGGACGTCTGGGGTGCTTTGCTCGGCCTGCTGCCCCCGCGACCCGGCCTCGGATAAGCGGATGAAAATGGATGGATGGATGGATGGATGGATGGATGGATGGATGGATGGATGGATAGTGGTACTGTAGTTCAGTAGTGCCTCTTGGTAGTTCAATAGTGATTTTTCCTCCGTCAGATCGACCTCACGCAGCCACTGGGGCCCCAGGGACCCTTCGACGTCATCGTTCACAAGCTGTCTGATGTCATTGTGGAGGCTGAGCACGACAGCCAATCGCAGCAGCTCCTTGCCAACTTCCAGGTAAGACTGTGTTGTAAACGGACCTCCTTTTTGCATCTGTCCCAAGAGAAATATTGAATTTTATCATGCAGCTGCTTGTCAATGTGCAGTTACTTGAAGTGAGAGGATTTCTCCATCTGTGCTTTAAATTACAGAGCTATGTGTCGGCTCATCCCAGTACAGTTCTCCTGGACCCCCTGCCTGCCATGACTCAACTCTTAGACCGCTTTGCCTCTTATCGGATCATGAGCAAGCTGCACAATTCACTCCAAGGTGAACTGCAGCCTCACAGTGTATGTTGTAGTATACTGCTGTTAATAGATATAAACACCCACCCTTCTTATATTCTGTTCAACAGACTGGCGCGTCTGCAGTCCTCCTTACCTCGAGATCCACAGTGTCAGTGACCTGTCATCTATTCAACAGGCTGTGATGACCCAGGGCCTAAGCTTTCCTCTCAGTCAGTTCACTTTCACTTGCTTACGTATTTCATTCTTATATTTTCAATTTCATAAGTTGAGAGCGTTTAAATTAACTTTGAAGGGGACCACCGTATTCTCAAAACAAGCTGACATCAGTTTGTACCTTATTTCTTTATATGCTCTTTGGTTGCCAGTGTTATTAATTCTCCCAGATTTCAGCTCATATTCCTACTGGAGCAAGTCCAGTTGTGTTTAGAAGCTTTTATTGCTGATTTTTCATGGTAGGCAGCGCAGCTATACTCCATTACAGTCATTCCCTGGCTGCAAGTACACTGCTAAACGTAGCTACATGCTAACGTCAGGGAAACATGTCCTCTTGGATGCTGACGTTGTTCATTTCTCCTGGATTTCGGATCATATTTAGCTGTAGTGATGTTACAGAGACGCTGAGAGTGCAGATACTGAAGACCTGGAAATGCTGACCAATCAGAGCAGACTGGGCTTTTTTCGGGTGGGGGGTTTAACGCTAGACAAACGATGTATAGACATACAGAAATAAACCCTCTCAGTCATCACTTATGATCCACTAGAAGTGTGTGGGGTGTATTTTTCTGCAGAGACTCTGCCTTCGTCAAGTATCACAGAACCCATAAACACTTTCTCCTTTGCTCTCTTGACCCCAGTTTGTAAAACCAGAGTGGCACACGGCTCCCTTTCCCATGAGGTGAGTGGTTTATGCGAACATTGTACCAATGCAGTCTTGTTTGTATGTTCATAACTGTTATTTATTTGCTCTCTGTTTGTCCTAATGTCTGTGTGATATCTGTGTGTGTTGCAGATGTCTTTGATTTTCAGTGCGGGGTGTCTGGCTGATATCCGTCCTCCCTGTGTGCTCCAGAGCTTCGTCAACCACGGGGCTGTTCTGCACAAGATGTTTGTGGTGGGAGACAGACACTACTGTGTAGAGAGGCCGTCACTCAAGAACTTCCCCTCCGGTCCCTGTGGTCAGTCTGCAACAGACTTACAGATATATAGATATTTATGTTCCTGTCCTGCCAGGCAGTTCGTTTCCTTCCCTTTCCCGTCTTGCCCTTTCCTTCCTTGTCTGTCATGTCCTTTACTTTGTTTTCCTTCTGTTTCCTATCTTGTCCTCTCCTTTCCCTTTCCTGTCTTCTCTTCTTTTTTCTTTCCTTTCCTTGTCCTTTACTTTTTTCCTTTCATTGCTTGTCTTGGCGGTTCCATTCCTCAATTTTCCTGCCATCTTTTCCTTTCCTTATCTTTATCTTGTTGTCCTTTTGTTTTCAATCCCTTTTCTTCCTTGTCCTTTAATGTCATTTCTCACCCCTTTCTGTCTTGTGCTTTCCTTTCCTTTCCTTTCCTTTCCTTTCCTTTCACTTCCTGCCTTATTGTTTACTTTCCCCATTTCCTGTCTTGTCCTTTCTTTATTTCCCTTCCCTTTCCTGTTGTCTACTCTGTTGTCCTTTCCTTTTCTTACCTTCCCTTTCCCTTCCTACCTTGTCATTTCCTTTCCTTCCCTTTTCTACATTGTCATTTCCTTCACCATTTTACCCTTGACATTTCCTTTCTTGTCCTTTTCTTGCTTTACTTTCCCTTTCTTGTCACCCTATCCTTCCCTTCCTTTTCTGTCCTCTACTCCTCTACTTTGTTGTCCTTTTCCTTTCTTAACTTATGATTTCCTGTCCTGTCCTGTCTTCTCTGTTCCTGCCATCTCCTTTCCTTTCCTTTCCTTTCCTTTCCTTTCCTTTCCTTTCCTTCCATTCCCTGTCTTGTCTATTCCTTTCCTTCCCTTTTCTGTCTTGTCCTTTCCTTTCCTTAATTTTCCTTCCCTTGTCCTTTCCTGCCTTATCATTTACTTTTCCCCTTTACTTTCGTGTCTCCTTCCCTTTCCTCTCGTCTACTCTGTTGTCCTTTCCTTTTCTTACCTTTCCTTTCCTACCATGTCATTTCCTTCAACCCTTTACCATTGTCCTTTCCTTCTCTGTCTTTTTCCTTCCCTTCCCTTCCCTTTCTGTCCTCTCCTCTGTTGTCCTTTCCTTTTTTCCCCCTTATCTCATTGTATCATTTCCTGTCCTGTCCTGACATGTCATGTCCTGCTGTGACTTGCTTTGCCCTATGTTACTCTACCTTGTTTTGTATTTGCTCTATCTGTTCCCTGTATCCACTCATACTGTAATTTATCTCTGCCTCCAGACAGGAAGACCATTTTCTTCAACAGCCATCAGGTGTCCAAGCCAGAGTCAAACTCTGATCTCACAGCAGTAAGTATGACAAGTGGCATCGTATTTCCTAAATTCTTTCAGATGAAGTCAGGAGTAAAGCAATACTGTTTTGGATCAATTTTCTCAGTTTTAATATCCTACTCCTAATATATCTGCAAAACTGTTCAGTGGTGTCATTTAGGTTGCACATATGGCTTAACAGTAGTTCCACCAGTCAGCCCCAACCCATTTAGCACCTCTCTGGGCTGAGATCCACCCCAATAATGTGTCCTCCTGTCCTCTAAGCTGGACGAGCAGATGCCATGCCTGCCTCCTCCCAGCTCTGAAGCCATGGCCGCCCTGGTCAGAGAGCTCAGACTTCAGCTTGGCATGGCCCTGTTCGGCGTGGACGTCATCGTCAACATACACACACACACCCTCACCGTCATCGACATCAACATCTTCCCAGGTACTGCACCTGCACAGACACACAGACACACAGACACACACACAGACACAGTGATGTACTCATAGACTCTTCTCATTGTCAGGCTATGAAGGAGTGCCCCAGTTTTTCTCCTCTCTGCTCAGCCACATTGAGTCAGTGTTGGACAAACAGGCCTCTGCTGGCCCCGAGGCAACCGGCTCTCCCGAGTCAACACAGACTACAGGAGGTCCATCTGCTGCAACAACTGGCCTTTAAGTCACCTCAGGAGCACAGCGTGGATTGCACTGTGTTTCATCAGCTTCCCAGGACAAATGAAGTCAATGACACTGGCTTTTTCACTCTTATGTTGGGACCAAAAGGAAGCCTTAACTTTAATTGTACATTAAACTGTACCGTCTGTAAATCACACTAATAATTGTGAGCTATTTTCTGCTCTTTTTACAAGCAAAAACAGAAGGCACATGATGGCTTAATACACTTTCCGTTTATTGATTGACGGGTAGCATAGAAGAAGATACAGCAGGCACAAAATACAGCACTCTGATTGGCCAGTAATATTACAAATGGTGTTTTTGTTATCATATTTTTCCCTGTTGTTCGAAATGTCCTCTATGGCCTCGTGTCACGCCCTCCCCCGCAGACATTTCCTGCGTCTTTCTTGCTGGTTTGTAAGATACATTTTGTGGAAACATTTTTGCACTAATATAGAAAAAGAAAAAAACGACAGTACATTAATTTTTTTTCATTTATTCTCAAGTGAACAAACACCTCATCGCTGGAACAGACAATAATGAGCTGATCCTGTGTGTCATCACTACGTGTTTACACAAGCTGACCCACCGGCTACTCTGCCAGTGTTTTAATGTATTGTAAATCTTGGCTGTGTAGAAAAAGAGAGATTATATATCTGCTATATGAGTACTCTATGATGCACTTTGACAACATATTAAAATACATGAAATAATTCGTTATTTGGCTAATTATTGCATTCACATGTGCTGTAGTCTATATTGTGTTATTGCAGTTTAGTGGGCGTCCAGTGGTTACCCTGTTAATCCTGCACCGTGTGCATTTCTACCCAGTGTCCTCTTGGGGGCGTTGTTGCTTCATATTTCCTATGACCTTGGCTTACAGACGTGATATCTGATATTTACACAAATGACATGACAGCCATGAAATCTGTGAACACTACAGAGCGTTTATCAATGTTATTGTCAGTGTGGCTATTACCAAAAGACATCAAAATGGCTTTAGTGACTCCCTCTTCCCTCGACTCCTCCTTGGCTTGTTAAGATAAGAGTGCAAAGCTGGCTGAGAACCTGAAGTGACACTTTTAGACCTTTTAAGCTCTAAGTACATAACATCCTGTGGCCAAACACTAACCACGCTCAAGACAAACCTAACATCCGACACACGTGTCCCTGTGCAGAACTTTAACGCTGATCTACTTCCTCTGTGTTTTGTTCGTGTCACCCTGGTTCGTCACAAACAGTCTGGTTTTAACAGTGCGAGAGCCAAATGAAACACAATCCTTGTTTCTACTTTATCATCGAAGAAACGAAGAGGAAATAATGACTTACTCCTGTGTAGAAATATCAGTAATACGTATCGTTAACAGTCAGAACAGCAGGAACAGCTTACACATAGTTATCAGTTATTGCACAAAATATATATATTGAAATACACATATTACTCATGGTAGGGAATCTGTTTTTTTCCCATCGAGAACACACCATCGAGGATGATACCCTTCAGAGAAAAAAACAAAAGTGCTGCTTGCCAGTACTCATGACTCAGATTTCAAAGATGATGGTGTTTGTGTGGTCGGCAATCTGCAGTCAAAAATAAAATTTGAATACAAAGTGCTGAATGCTTTGCATCCATGGCTGTTCACAACTGAAGTGAAATCAACCGTCTACCTCACAAACAGCATTTATAGGTATTGAGACAAGTGGAGATAGACACAAAGATCTTTCAGATTCTCTAGAAAAGTGTGTCTTTTTTTTCTCTCCTCAACACTCAGACGCATCAAGGAAACAGTGACAGCCTTTTCCAGGCAATCTAAAAGCAGAAATGAAACAACCGTATGTACAGTTTCTACTAATGTCCATTTACAGATTCACATCTGAAGACAATTCTCTGAGTGCTCTGGGGACTTGAAGGCTGTAAAATGGAAAATGTGTGAGCTGAATGTGTGACTGTGAATGCAACAAAGGGTTTTGTCAGTCCGCTGTGTGTGTGTGTGTGTGTGTGTGTGTGTGTGTGTGTGTGTGTGTGTGTGTGTGTGTCCATGTCTGTGTGTCTTATCCTCTGCGAAGCTCCCTCAGCTCTGCAGCCACTTTGCGCAGCTCTGCTTCAATCTCCAGCAGCTCCTGTGGACAGAGAGCCACGAGAATATGTGACCGAGCAAAACAGGACACAGTGACACGATGCTTCATGTCATAGCTCGCGAATAACAATGAAATTGTCTTGTCCATGTTTTTGGGTTGCAATGAAACTTGCTGGGTACCTGTTGGTAGGTAGAGGGAAATTTTACAATGATGATGATGATTGAATACTTTGACAGGTGTTCAAATGTTTATGAGATAGACTTTTGTTCCTGGGATTGCGTTACAACTGTGCAAAATGCAGTCACTAAACTTTAGAGGTGTGTAGCTGAGGTCACAATTAAGGTTGAGTTCAAAGACTGGTGTGGTCCAAGCAATAATGCCGAAAAAGTGGGGGGTAGGAATTCGGGAAAGGACTGATGTCCCCCTACTTTATGCCCCTGGTCCACATTCATTTTAAGTCAAGAACTGCTGTATTATTCAGCTTATCAAGGGGATTCCAACTTTAGTTCAGAGCCACTGCTCTTCAAGCAAACAAACTGCTGTGTATTGTACTTACTGTTTATATTTTGACATCTAGCATTGAGATGGAAACAGTAAATGTTCATATTGCAGCAAAAACACCCTGCATTTATTTTGTATTTACCCTCACAAAGAGGTGACAACTGATTACTTGCAGCCTGCACAGCCTATCCATCAGAGAATAAGATGTGAACAAGGGAATGCTTTAATAAATGGCCTGTATACTCCAGACTTGCACTGTAATAAGGACATAGAGGCTGGTCCAATGGTCAAAACTGATGTTCATAGCGCTAACATTGTTACTACTTTTTCCCCAGTAGTTACATATTCGTCCAGGTATAGGTATGTGTAAGTATGTCATTAGCACCATGGGATAACGGACCCCTGGGCACTAACTTGCAGGAGGCTCCACCACCTCTCCTTCACAGGCGCCAGAAATGTTTATTTATGTTTACTGTTTACTTATTCTATTCTTGTTTATTCTATTAATGTATATATCGTAGATAAATTTCACACTTACACTCTCAGCAGAGTGAAGATAATTGTGAAGATAGTGTTAAACACTATAGCACATTTTTTTTGTAGTTTTTAATGTACTGTTCATTTGTATTTATTTCATTTTATTTTATTGCTTTATATTTACATGCTTCTACTTCTACTTCTTACATACTTCTATTTAATTCTTACTTCTTATGATTCTTTATTCTTTACATTGGAGCTACTGTAACAAATCACAATTTTCCCTCAGGGATCAAGAAAGTATTTAGGATTATAATTCTGATTCTGAAACACTGACATTGTGGTGGTTTTGCCTCTTTATTTGTTATTGTTTTGCATTTCCTTGTAGTTGTTTTGTGTCTCTTTGTGGTTGTATTGTGTCTACCTTGGTTGTTTTGTGTCTTTTTGAGGTAATTTTGTATCTCTTTGTTGTTGTTTTGTGTCTCTTTGTTGTTGTTTTGTGTCTTTTTGGGGCAATTTAAAGTCTTTTTGAGGTAATTTTGTGTCTCTTTGTTGTTGTTTTGAGTCGTTTTTGGTTGTTTTGAGTCATTTTTGGTTGTTTTGTGCCTCTATGGTTATTTTGTGTCTCTTTGTGGTTGTATTGTGTCTACTTTGGTTGTTTTGTGTCTCTGAGGTAATTTTGTGTCTCTTTGTTGTTGTTTTGTGTCTTTTTGAGGTAATTTTGTGTCTTTTTGTGGTTGTTTTGTGTCTCTTTGTTGTTGTTTTGTGTTTCTCTATGGTTGTTGTGTGTCTTTTTGTGGTTGTTTTGTGTCTCTTTGTTGTTGTTTTGAGTCATTTTGGTTGCTTTGTGTCCCTATGTAGTTGTTGTGTGTCTTTTTGCAGTTGTTTCGTGTCTCTCTATGGTTGTTGTGTGTCTTTTTGTGACTGTTTTGCCCCTTTTTATATTTTTGTGGTATCTCTTACAACTTCTTCTGCATCTCTTTGTGGTTTTTATGTGTCTCTTTAGCCATTATGTTTTGTTTGTTTTTATTGTATATGGTCATTTGAGTGACAGATGAAGGCCAGGAGCCCCCCTGACACTTTGGGCCCCTGGGCCTGTGCCCAGCAGGCCACTTCATTAATCCATCCATGATTAGTCCTACATATATACTCAATCATGACACTGTAATTTGTGGGCTTACAAACACACAGATACACAAATAGTCACGTTATTTGCACCAACTTACCTCCCCTTCATCTTCTTCTGCGTCACCCTCCTCATCGTCTTCCTCCTCCTGCCCCTCCTCATCCTCTCTAACGTACTCATCCTCATCTTCCTCGTCCTCATCCTCCTCCTCCTCCTCCGCATCCTTGTACCTCTCCCTCTCAAACTGCTGCGTGGCCTCATCGCTGGCTTTCTCCATCACTCTCTTCTGCTGCGGCTCCTTCACGTCTGTTGCCTCCTCCTTCTTCTTGACTTCATTCTCTGTTTTCTCATCTGGCTCCTTGTTGTCATCCCCCTCCTTCTTCTCACGCTTCTCCTCTGCTTTCTTCTCATCCACGCTGTCCTCTTTCGTCTTGCCTTGCGTCTCCTGTTCCTCCTCCTCCTGCACCCGTTTCATCTTCCTGACGAGTTCGTCCAGCTCCTCCTGCTTCTCCTTCCTCTTTCTCTCCTGCTCCGCCTTGCTCTTGCTGTCCTGCTCTTTGAGCAGCTCCTTTAGCTCCTTCTCCACCTTCTCCTTCTCCACCATCAGCTCCACTTCATTCTTCCTCCTCTCCTCGATCCTCTGCTTCTCCAAATCCTCCACTGTGTCTCCCTTCTTCTCTTTGTCCTCCTTTGTCTTCTTCTCCTCCACCTCTTTCTTCTGCTCTGTTCCAGAGCCTTTCTGGACCTCCCTCTCCTTCACTGCCTCGTACCGTTTCTTCTTCAGCTCCTTTAGCAGTTCTTTGAGCTCCTCATCATTCTTCTCCTCCTTCCCTTTCTTGGTGATCTCTTCAGCTAACAGCTCCTCAAGCTCTTTGGCTCGCTCCTCTTCATTGTCCCTCCCTCTGTCTTCGATCCGTGGCTCCTCCATTATCTTCTTGGTGTCGTCTTCCTCTGTCTTCTCTTGTTTCTTTTCCTCTGTCTCTTTTGGAACGCTGGTCACGTCTCTCTCCTCCTTCATCTCCTCATCCCCCTGCTCAAAGTCGCTCTCATCATCAGCCAGGTTGTACTCATATTGCTCCCTCTCGTCGTCTTGCTCCATGTCTCTCTCTGCAACAGTCAGACTGCAATGGTCAGTGCCATGTGGTGTTAAAATGCATGAGCACATGTGTCTGATTGAGGGTGAAGACTATTAATTCCATTTAATTCAAAGACTTTTAAATGAAAAACCAAATTAGACCTGTTTTACTTTGTAGCAGTGGATGTTGTGTGTCAATGTGAATTTGTGCGTACCATCACCAGCCAGCCTCTGCAGCTCCCTGAGTAAACCTTGATGTCTTTGGACTTCATCAAGTTCCTCTGCAGAAATAATGGCACACAATACTTTAATAACACAACATTGCACCAAAAACAGCCAACAAAATATGTACATAATGCTCTGTAGATGCAGTCAAGTCTTTACACATCAAGAGGAGTGTGTCGAAACACCCATCACAGATTAGAATTATGGTGAATTTCAGCAAATAAGACAAC